TCTCCTTCCTGTATGCCTATGCTTCGTATGTTTGGTCTTTTTATGGTGTCACACAAATTCCAACATATTCCATTCTTGCGTTTTCTTAAATTTTTCATAGTCTTTGCTTGAGTGGTCTAGTTCATCCACTTTATCTTCTAGTCTTGATATTCTGTTTTCCATTTCATTCTTCCTATTGGTGAGGCTTTCTCCTGTCTTTTCTAATTGGCTTACTGAGTGTTTCTCTTCCTTTTTCATTTCAGCCTGAGTAATCTTCAATATTTCTAACTCTTTTCTGAATTATTTCAGAAGTTTATCCCGATCTTCCTTCAGTTCTTTGATTTCTTTGTGTGTTCTTTAAATTCACTGAATTCTTTTATCATGTTTATACTTGTTCTTTTGAGTTCCATGTCTTGTGTTATCTGTAGGGGATTCTCATTGTACTCCTCTAGAAGACTCTTGGTATTTGGTGGGGATATGTTATTTTGGTTTTTCATGTTATTATTTTTTTCTCTGTGACTTAGACATGTCAGTTTCTTTCGTAGTTTCTGATTCTTGTATGAGACTCAAGCCTTCAAGTTTAGGTCTGCTTCTTTTTGTAAACTTTTTCTGACTTTGTGGTTACTTGTTGGGCATGAAAAACTAGGCTTCCAGTTCTCTCTTTTGATTTTATATTGAAGTGGCCAAATTGCTTTCATCTTCAGGAGTTCCCACAGTGGCCCAAGTCAGATGAGGATCAGATGCTCCCAGGCTTTCTCCTAATGTCTGGATCCCTCCAGAAAAGATGTTGTCCTCAGGAATTTGGGGGCTGGACTGGCCTGGACATAGGGCCCAGGAAAATGCTGGTTTTGGACATGGTCGCCATCCCATCCAGTGAACCAGAGGGAGGTGAGGGTGGAACCAGGCCCAGAGGGCTCCAGGGGACCTCGAGAAGGAAGTGGGTTGGTCTGGATGCAAAGGATCAGGAAGCAGTAGTGGCTCCTAGCAGAGCGGTCAGCCCCAGTGTCTGTGGTGTCAAGACAAGAAAGTGGGCCATTAGCAAGGCTAGGAGGAGAGATGGGACAGGGCAATTGGGAGGGTGAATGAGGCTGGGGAGTTAAGTCGCAGTGGGCACTGCTGGACTTATCCAGGAGAGAAGCTGGTGGGTTATGCAACTCAGGGAAGCAGAGAGAGGTAAGGACAGGACCAGACCCAGAGGGCTCCTGGGGAGCTAGAGAAGGAACTGGGTTGGTCTGGATGCAAAGGATCAGGAAGCAGTGGTGGTTCCGGGCTGAGAGGTCAGCCTCAGTGTCTGGGGTGCCAAGACAAGAAATGGGCCAATATCCAGGCTAGGAGGAGAGATGGGACCGGGGTGGGGGTGGGGGGGCGTAGCTGGGAGGGTGAATGAGGCTGGGGGAGTCATGGTGCATTGGGCACTGCTGGACTTACCCAGGAGAGAGGCTGGTGGGTTGTGCAGCCCAGGGAAGCAGAGGGAGGTGAGGGCGGAACCAGGCCCAGAGGGCTCTTGGGGACCTAGAGAAGAAACTGGGTTGGTCTGGATGCAAAGGCGGATTTTGTTTCTTAATCCATTCAACTAGTCTGTGTTTTTTGACTGGGGAGTTAAGTCCATTGATATTTAAAGTTATTATTCAAAGATGTGTATTGGTTGCTATCATTTTGATTACTGTTTACATTCTTTGTCTTATTTTTTGGTTCCACAATTATACCTTCATTTAATTTCTTCCTGTTGCCCCTGGGATATAGTTGTTCCTTTTTCCATTCTTTGTATTGTTTCAAGTATTCTTTGAAGGGCTGGTTTTGTGGACATGTATTCTTTCAGCCTATTCATGTCATGGTAGAGTTTTCTTTCCCCTTCAACTATAATAGACATTTTTGCTGGGTAAAGTATTCTGGGTTAGCATCTATGGTCATTTAGAGCTGGGAGTACTTTGCCCAGGAGCTTCTGGCTTTCATAGTTTGCATTGAAAAGTCAGCTGTAATTCTGATGGGTTTTCCTTTATATGCAACTTGTTTTTCTTTCACAGCTTTCAGTATTCTCTCTTTGTTCTGTACATTTAGTGCTTTTACTATGATATGCTGTGTGGAGTGTCTTTTTTGGTCCTGTTTGGTGTTCTCTGTGCTTATTGTATTTGTATGGGGATGTCTGTCCTTAATTTTTACAGTCTTGTTTAAAATCTGGTCAATACCGTTAACCTGAAATTCTTCTCCTTCCTCTATGAATATAGTATGGAGATTTGGTTTTTTTCATGGTGTCCCACATCTCCTGCATATTCCATTCCTGTGTTTTTAAAAATGTTTCCATAATCTTTGCTTGAGTGGTCCAGTTCTTCACTTTTATCCTCCAGTGTTGGTATTATGTTTTCCATTTCATTAATTTTATCTGTGAGGCTTTCTTCTGTTGTTTGGAATTGGCTTATTGAGTTTTTCACTTCCTTCTTTATTTCAGTCTGAGTTTTCTTCAGTTTTTCTATCTCTTCTGTGAATTCAGTCAGAGGTTTATCCCTATCTTTTTTTAGTTCTTTGTTTGTGTGTTCTTTAAATTCATTGAATTCCTTGATCATGTTTATGATTTTTCTTTTAATTTCTGTGTCCTGGGTTATCTGTAGGAGGTTCTCCTTGTAGAAGTCTGCTATAGGGCTGGTAAAGTTTGGTGGGAACATACTGTTTTGGTTTTCCTTATTATGTTTCTGTTATGATTTTCTTATGTAGATTTCTTTTGTTGTTTGTGATTCAGGTATGAAACTCAAGTCTTCCTTTGTTGAGTTGAAATCTGCTTCTGTTTGTGTTATTGGTGTGCCTTGGTTGTTTTCTCATTGGGTTTGTAAAGCTGGTTTGTCTAGGTTTTGGATTCTCTCAGATTTTATATTAGAAGGAACTGATGGCTTCAGATCATCCTACTCATGAGCTCCCATGGAGGCTCATCAGGCTCCATTCAGGTACACTCAGGTTTCCTTCTAATGTCTGAACAATACTAGTGGACACTGTAAGCACAACTTGGGAAGTTTGCTAAGGGGAAGCCCAATTTTGGCACTCTCAGTCTGTCTGCTAAGGTCTCATTTCCTACTGTAGGTCAGAGAAATCTATCCCTAGCATAGTGGGAGGGGCCTCACGTAGGGGTTGGGCAGGGCTTGATTTGGGGAAGCTTACCACCAGATGGAGGCTAGACACTCTCAGATGGTCTGCTAAGGTCTTAACCCCTACTGTAGGGCTGAAAGTTCTAGCCCTGGCGAAGTGGGAGGGGCCTCACGGTATCCTAATTAGGGGGCTGGGCAGGGTGCAATTTAGGCAAGCTCACCACCACTGGGAGGCCTGATCCAAGTACTCTCAGGAAGGCTGCTGAGGTCAGGGCCCCTACTGTAGGGCAGAGAGGTCTAGCCCCAGTGAAGTGGGAGGAGCCACATGTAGTCCCAGTGCGGGAATGCAGGGGGTTGGGCATGGCACAATTTGGGGAAACTCACCAACAGGTGGAGGTTGGATCCAGACACTCTCAGGTGGTCTGCTACATTGATCTTAAAAAGAAATTAAGCTTTTCCTCTTCTACTTTCTAAAAGAGTTTATATGTGACGAATTATTCCTTAAATGTTAAATGGAATTCACCAATGAATCATATGGCTTGGAATTCTGTTATGACTTTATTAAGGCTTCAATTTATTTAACAGATGAAGTGCTATTCTGATTTTCAGATTTATTTTTCTTGAGGCAGTTTTGGAAATGTAGATCTTTCAAGGAATTGCTTTCATCTAAACACCTGTGCTGGATAGCTTTAGTGTCAACTTGACACACCTGGGTTGAGGGAGCCTCAACTGGAGAATTGCCTTCACTGGACTGGCCTGTGGCCATGTCCACGGGGCACCTTCTTGATTGTTGAGTGATGTGGGAGGGCCCAGCCCACTGTGGGTGGTGCCATCCCTTGGCAGGTGGGCCTGTGTTGCATAGGAAAGTGGACTGAGCAGGGGCCAGGGGAGCAAGCCAGTAAACAGGGATCCTCCATGGCCTGTGCTCCAGCTCCTGCCTCCAGGTTCTTGCCCTGAGTTCCTACTTTGTGCTCCTTGATGAACTGTGACCTGGGAGATGTAAGCTGAATAAACCCTTTCCTCCCCAAGTTGGTACTAGTCAGAGTGTTTTGTTACAGCAATGGAGAGACAAACTAGGACATTAGCATAATACTGTACTTTTTTTTATTTTTGTAGGATCTATATTGTTTCCATTTTTTAAAAGTTTCTTTAGAAAATTAATAAAAAATAAGAGGTAGTTATCAAGAACTGGCCCATTTCTGTTCTATGTTCTAATCTCATGGGTCAGAAATCACTTAGAAGCTTCCACTTCACATTGGAGTAAGAAAAGTTTTGAGATTAAGATCTCTATTGCCTATATACCTGGGTGTGTGTGTGTCTGTCTGTCTGTCTGTCCGTCCGTCTGTCTACTGGGCCTTGCACATGCTAGGCAAGCACTCTACTGCAGAATTATATCCACAGCACTTGTTTATCTGAAACAGTGCCTTACTCTGTAGCCCAGACTGGTCTTGAACTCATAACCCTCCTGCCTCTACCTCTTGAGGGCTAGGATTCTAAACAGGTACCACAGCATCTAGGATCTTACATTTCTAGAACTCTATATAGGAATGTAGGCCTGAGTGTCTCTGCTCTTATTTCATGTAAAAACATCTGGGGTTTTATTGATGAGACCAGGACTAAGTCTTCTTACCAGTATACTAGGTTCTTTAAGATGCATGGAGAGACTTTTCTGATTATTGTAGACCTTCTAGGGTTTGCTGTCTGAATTTCTCTTGACAATTTACTGAAGTAGACAGGACTAGATTAAGACAGGAAGTGTAAATGCTTTGGGCCTTGCTGAGAAAATTATGTGCATCCAATCACATGTTTTAAAGCAATTTTCAGTTGTGTGGCCTTGAAAAAATTATTTATACTTCTGAACCATATTAAATTTTAAGACTCAATCACTCAGATGATTTTGAATGGGAAATTAAGCATTAATTTAAAAAATTCTTTCTTTATATCTAGGGTATCCAGTACAAAACTGGATCTACAGAAAAAGTCGGAAGCCCTTGAAAATAATAGACAAACTCTTACCAAGAAAGAAGAAGAAATTGTTATTTTAAAACAAGAATTTGGAAAGTTAAATCACAATGCAAAGACACGGAATGAGGAATTGAATAACATAATTCAAACAGTAGAAACAGAACTGAAAGAAGTAAAGATGGAGAAAGAAACTCTGATGGCAGAACTTTCTACAACAAAGGAAAACTTGTCAAAAGTTTCCAATTCTTTAGAAAACTCCAAAAGTGAATTTGAAAAAGAGAATCAGAAAGGAAAAGCCGCTGTGTTAGATTTGGTTAGTTGTCTGCCATTTGCTTTCTTAGGTAGAATTCATTATCTTCTTTTGTATGGGGGTGGAGAGAGGGCAGATAACCCATGTTGACTTTGAATATTACATTAAAATATTTTTAAATATCTCAGAAGAAAAGGAATTGGAATTGCTAAACCTGAGAAAAAGCTAGCTTCTGCCGGGTCCACTGGTGCATACCTTTGATCCCAGCTGGCTTTCATCACACTGAGATCTGCCTGCCTCTGCCTCCAAGTGCTTTTGATAATGATGTGTGTGTGTGTGTGTGTGTGTGTGTGTGTGTGTGTGTATGTGCACAATTTTCTAGAAGTCAGAGATGTTTGCAGTTGAGTATAACAGTCTCTTTCTGGCGTTAGATGATAGATTTCTGAGTGACTGCAGTGTGTCTGTGTGGTTGGGGACATTACCACAGATAATACATCTAGTGAAATGTTATTCACATACCTTAAAAAAAAAGAGACCCTTTTAATTTTGGCTCTATAAAATTTCTGGTTACTGAGTATTGTAAAACTCTAGGCAGTATGTTTAGAGATACCATAAAACATTTAAATTGTAGGCAGAGTTATAGAGTCACAGGAAATGCTTAAAGGGGATTAAATTCTCAGAAATAGTTTAACCAAGAATAGCACAATATAACAACAGCAAAAGTAAAAGTCCTTTGTTCTGCATGTGAAGGTAGGTGAACATGTTTAGTGGTATAAAAACGTGAAATTTTTGTGCTTCGTTTATGTTTGTAGTAAACCTTTTCTAGCTGTACACCTTAAGTTACATGATTATTTTTTAACTTGTCACTTTAACATTTTATTTAAAAATATTTCTCAGTTCCATTTTCTTGAGCCTTACTGATGTACTAAAACCACAGCCAGATGTGATGGTGCATGCCTATAATCCTGGCATTTGGGAGGCAGAGGCAGGAGGATCTTTGTGTGTTTGATACCAGTCTGGTCAACACAGCAAGTTTCAGGCCAGCCAGGACTACATAGTGGACCCTTTCTCAAACAAAAGCAAAAAAAGAAAAGAAAAGAAAACAACAAAAAACATGACAGTGAATTGTCTCTGATATTTTATTGGGACTTGTTAGTTGGTAGAAACTTGTAGCATTTTGCTGACACCGCCCCCCCACCACTCATATACCATTTACTTGTTTGTATCATTGAAATGAATGATCTTACTACATTTTAGATCATTAGTGGTCTCAATTTATTTTCTTTTGTTTCTCTTACTAAGCTCGTAAATAATTCTCAGGGTTATTATAGATATTTTTCTGTGTAATATACTTTCTTGTTTATTAGGAAAAAGCGTGTAAAGAATTAAGGCATCAGCTTCAAGTACAGGCAGAAATTACACTAAAGGAACAGAATGAACTGAAAAAGTCACTTGAAAAAGAGAAAGAGGTATGCTTTTCTTTTCTGTAGTATAAATATGTACAGTATAATACGCCTTTGTGTTTTCAAACTGTTTTCACCCTGGTCAAAGTAATGTTTATTTCTCTGAAATGTAATATTCATATATATTAAAATTGTTATTTCTGTACTACTTACCATTACTAAGCTTTAAACTAGTTTAAAATACAAGGCCAAATAAAGGAACATAATTAAGAAAAGGAGAAACTGAATCAACTACCGTAAGAGTTTTAATTACATATGGTTAAGGAACATTATTATAGTTGGAAAAAAATCTCAATAGCCTTTTCATAGAAGTGACCTTCATAGACATTGATATATTTGATAATAACTACACAGTGATAAAGACGTATTTCTGGTCTCCTATATAGTTACTATCAAATACATCACTATGTAAAAAATAAGTCACATTTAGAAGGTGGCCAAGAGATTCGGTAACTTCTGCAAAGAGTAGTATGTAGCATATCAAAAATGCTCAGCAAATGTCTTTTGAATGAATAAATAAGTCAAATAGGTTTCATTTTCTCTTAGGCTTCTCAACAGTTGAAGTTGGAACTCAGTTCACTGAAAGGAGAAGTCACACAGACTCAAAATACATTAAAACAAAAGGAAAAAGAAGAGCAACAACTTCAGGGGAACATACATCAGCTAAAGCAATCAAATGAACAGAAGAAAAAACAGATTGAAGCACTTCATGGAGAAGTTAAAAGTGCTGCTTCACAAAAGGTACTGATAAGAAATTTGTTTACTGTTTGTAGGAGGGAAAAAGTAAAAGTTAAGATAATATTAAAGCATAAGAGTTTTATCATAGAAAAGTTCATGTCCAAAATTTTTGTAAGTTCATATTTGATATATGATTAAATAAGTGAGTGTTCATCAGAATTGTCTAATAGTCATGAAAGTTCATAAAAGCAGTATTTACTGTTAAGGTAATTACTTATGTAACATTTCTACTATTTTAGAGCACTTTAAAGGAATTAAAAATAAATCATCCTTATTAAGAGAAAGAAAATAGCAAAAATGAAGTAGAATACATTTTAAAAATTTTGTAATGTCAGATTTCATGTAGTCCATTTGACGTTTTATGTAATACCAGAATGTTTTTTGTTTCCAAATATAAAGGCATTATTTATTTTTAATCACCTAGTTTTCATTTCATCTTTCTTTTTTTTTCTTTTTTTTCTTTTTTTTTTTTTTTTTTTTTTTTTGTCTTTTTGAGACGGGGTCTCCTTGTAGCCCCAGCTGGGCTGGAACTCACCATGTAGACCAGACTGGCCTGGAACTCACAGAGATCTGCCTGCCTGCCTCTGCCTCTTGAGTGCTGGAGAGAGTGCTGGGATTAAAGGCATGCACTCCCATGCCAGGCTACCTAATTTTCATTCTTAAACACATTTTCTTCTTGTCGAGACTGAGTTAGCTAAATAGGTTGTATTTAGTATCAAATATTTGAGCAAAATGTTTTTCTCCATTGTTAGCGTTTGCGTATTAATTCATCTATAGAGAAATGAGTACAAGTTTTAGGATATAGAATAACCTAAGTATATCATGTCATTAAGATTTAGCTGTCATACAAATGATGCAAATAAAAAATCATAAGTATGCATTTTATGTTTACTAGTTTTTCTGTTATGCTACTTTAAAAAAGAACAGTTTTCTAAAAATATGGGCAAGATTAGAAAAGTTTATCTTTTAGCGTTAACATATATAATAATAAAAGTCAGAATGTAATTGCCACAATACATTTTTTGTTGCATACTCTAAAACTGTGAAAAAATTGTCTGTGACAACTTTATCCATGTATATAAATGTATTTTGGTCATATTCACAGCCTCTTACTCTACCCTATCTCCCCACTCCCCTCTGGACCTCTTCTTCCCAAGTCTTTGTACTACTTTCCTGTCTTATTTTTTTTAATGGCCCCCTGAGTTTAATTAAGGTTCCTGGCATGAACATGAGTGTGGGTTTGCTTACTGGAGCATAGACAACTTATCAGTGGCTACAAGGCTGAAGAAAATGCTTCCTCCTCCCCAAGTGGCCATTGACTATCAGTAGCTCCTCAGCCAGGGTGGTTTATGAGTCATTCCCCTACCCGTGGTGGAATGTGGAGACTTGATTTTGCACAGGGCTTGTTGCACATTTTAATATATTTGTTTCTTTTTTATTTTGTTTTGATTTTTTTTTCTAGGTGAGGTCTTGCTGTGTTGCTAAGTTTAGGCTAGAAGTCTCCATCTTCTTAGCCACCCAAATTGCTGGAATTATAGACATGTACCACTACTCCTGGCTTGCACACTTTGATAGATTGAGGTCTTTTTCCCTTAGAATCTAGTGTCGTATCCAAGTATTCCTGAGCACTCCATTTTTTTAACATCATAATTTAGTGAATTAAAAATACATTTTTTATGCTTTCTTCCTGTTAAACTGTTATATGATTTCTTTTGAGATTTATATTTAATACATATTGCCTGTGCTTTCCATGGCTTCACTAGATGATACCTGCAAGGCTGCGTTTAGAGGAAGTGATTTTATTACTAGTTCTCCTTTTTATTAACACGCGAATGCCATAATAAGGAATAAACTTCTAGGAAGGCAGAATCTTTTTTACCTTTTTTGGAGCGTGTTGGTCATAAAGCCTATTTTTGAAACAAGATTTGGAATTTGGATTATTTAGCTTTGTTAAGGACAAGTGTAGGTCATGGAAAAAGGATGTATTATGGGATATATATTGGTGTAATGGTCACAGGGAGATGACTCAGTAAAATATTGTCATAGAATTATGAAGATTTAGATATGTATTCCTCTGTAACTGGAGTTACCAGATTGTTTTAACCCACCACATGAATGCAGGGAACTGATCCTGTGTCCTCTGCAAGAGCATCAAGCACTCTTTTCATTGCTGAGCCATCTCTCCAGCCCTCTTCCAAATATTCTTAAAGACAAGTTAATTTTAGAGTAGTTTGAACCTTTATATTTTCTTTTTCTGTCTTGATATTAACAAAGATGATATAGGAAGAAGTTTCGGAAGTTATTCTTGAATTTCCAAGAGTAGAAACTGCATGCTTCAGTGCCGTGCACCAATGGCTTCTTATTTTCTTTCAAGTCTCCTGAGAGCCAATACTTAGTACTTCTTAGTGGAATGTTTCTTTTCTTTGATTGCTTTTGCATTTTGTATTGGGACTTGTTAGTTTTTTAATTCTTTGACTTTATAAAGTATGTTAATGTTTATTAAAGTATTTTAGGGCATAAATGCATTCAGCTGACTTTCAGATATTTTAGTTGTATGAATTTCATTTTACATTTGTGACTGGTTTTCTCTGTGCATTCTGTTTTAAATAACTTCTGCATGTTTCAGACAGAGCTAGAGAAGAAACTACAGCAGCAGTCATCACAGGCAGCCCAGGAACTAGCCACAGAGAAAGAGAAATTCTCAGTGTTACAAAGCACCTATGAGAACTGTCAGGAGAACTTCAAACAGCTTCAGTCTGATTTCTATGGGAAAGAGTCTGAACTTCTAGCGACAAGGCAAGACCTTAAGGTATAGTAAATTGTAGTATGTTATAAAACTCAGTAAGTTGTTTATCGATATGGGCAAGGGAATGTTAGAGTTTATGGAATATCATACTTATTTTCTATTAAATTTTATTTCTTAGACTCATATTCTTTTTAAAATTTTTAAATATTTAGGACAAAATCATAATATACATAAATAAGAAATTTAAAATGTGTTATAGTGCTGAAATAATTTGGGCATATGCTAATTATGACACTATCAGTGTACCTAAGGATTTTCATGCCTTTGAATTGAAAATTACATTAGAAATGGTCTGATTGTCATTTGTGAAAAGTATAGTTTTTACTGTCGCTTTGTCAAGCAAAACTGATTTTTAGTTTTATGTATTTGTCAGGTTTCTAAGATGACAGGAATATCCTATGATTAGAATAAGGCAAATGAAATATAACCATAATAATATGTGATCATGGGGCTGGAGAGATGGCTTAGTGGTTAAGAACACTGGTTGTTCTTGCAGAAGACCCAGGTTTGAATCCCAGTACCCATATGGCAGCTAACAACTGTCCTTAACTATAGTCCCAGGGGATCCGACAGCCTCTTCTGACCTCCATGGGCATTGCACAACATGGGTACACATACCTATATGCAAGCAATATACACATACACATAAAATAAAAATAAAAGTTTAAAAGTTTAAAAAATAATATATGATCATGTTTATTAAAGGATATAGATAAAAAAGTAAATAAATTTTATATATTAATGTATTCTATAAATGAAATGAAATATTTGTGTTCTCTCACAGAAAATTCAGTCAGAACCAATCTGTGTCTGTCCCCTTCAGTTTTTGTCCCTGTCTCTGCCTCTGTCCCTGTCCTTGCCTCTCTGTCCCAGCCTCTATCTTTTGTCTTTTTCTTTTTGTCAGGGTAAAATGTGCTATTTCTTTCCTGTGTTTGAAATTTTAATGTATTTAAAGTATACAATTATAAAATTGTTGATAATCTCCCATATTAAAATATTTTATTTCTATATAATTTATATATTTTATTTTTTATTCTTAGACTCTTGTAGCCAAAGCTTTATGGAAATAACTAGGTCACTTAGATATGTGACTAGGTCCTAAAGGATGAATTTAAAATAGAGAATCTTAAGAAAGGTCATTTTCCCAGGGTCATTTGACAAGTACTATATACAAAGTAAGCAGAGCCAGGAGTGCTGGTTATGTGTGGAATTTAGGTTAAAAACATTGGGTCTAAATTGTAAGGTATTTAGATGTGTAGCAGAAACTATTGAATTTTATACTGGGGAGAAAAGTAAATGAAGTGCCAAGCCGAGTAAAATGAAAAAACTAGTATTTTAGGGAACTTACTTGGAACAATACATTGATGAAACTTAGTGGGGAGAATAGTTAAGAATTTCTTTCTTAATAAATTCTGGTAATTAGTGTGAGTTAGAACTAGGATTAAAGTTTAAAAGAATAGAAGAGATTAAAGATCAAGGGAGATGAAGCAAAAGTACTAAATCTTAGTAGGCTGCAGGGGAAGTGAGGGGAAGTAATAATAGATTTGACACAGAAAGAGGAAATTGAATGAAAGAATTTTCACAGTGGTGAGAAAGGGAGGGAGGAAGAGGTTGGTTAGTGCAAAAAGAGAATGTCGGGGATATTTAAGTAGTAGAGTGTTATTATTTTCTTTACAACATGTTGAAAGGCAAGGAATATTTTGTGGAAACGTTTGGGTTTAATCTAAAGTTAATGTGCAGGTACTGAAGAGAGATGCATTTGGGATACTGACTGACTGCAGAATGAGAGAGCTTATGGGAATCTAGGCTAATCAAGGAGACCTGAGAGGAGACTTACCTTAGTCTAATGGCAAGAGGATGGTTTGAGTTGAGCATAGCATTAAGGACAGAGAAAAGTGTTGAATTTGAAAGAATTTTAAGTGATAGTGAAAAAAACTTAATGATTAATTGTAAAAGTTCTGTGTAAAGCACTCTTTTTATATGTATATTATTATTTACCCAGATTATAATCTAGTAATAGGATTTATTGGTCTTAAATTACCTTATTAAGGCAAAAATAATTTTTGTGCCTGAAAGTTACACTGTATACTGATAATTTCAGTTATGGAAGGATAATTCAAATGTAAATTTGAGCAGAAGAGAAAACAAAGTGGTGGCCTACAGAAGGTTTTATAACTCAAAGTCTTGATAACCTCTGTTCTGAAGCTTCCATTGCAGGTGAGACAGGCCCAGGGCTGCACCATGACAGAACCATGGTTGAAGCTCAGTTCTTCTTATTCAAAGACCTCTATTTTTTCTTTTACCACCATCTCAGTAGATTTTTTTTTACAAAATATAAGATTTATAAAATATGTTTTAATGATTCTAAAATACGATGTATAGTTGGAAAATTAGAAGTTCTCAAGAATTGGTGCAAAACATAAGTTTCACCTCAAAAGGGATGTGATCATTTATTCTGGAGCCAAATATGAGTGACCATGCCTGAGAGCAGAGACTTAGTCACTCGAAATTCCATGTTCCATCATGGAAGCAGTTTCATGAAGTTTTTATGGTAACAGAACAAAGAAAGTAATAAATCAAGTCACTTTTCAAATACTGAAAATTTCTGATATTGGTAGAAATACCAGGGGCGGATTACAGCAAAGCAGAGAAACCTCTGTTATGGACCTCCTTTGTAACTGATGACACACTTAGCTTTTGAGTTGGTGGAAGCTAGTGGTCTGCTAAGTTCATACATTCCAAAGAAAAGCTAGTGCTATGTTTGTACATTACAAATGGTTTACCTGATGGTCACAAAGCTGTTCTGTCCAGGTACAGAGGAGGGCAATAAATGGCTATTTAGAAGGCTAAAGATGGCCTAAGATAATTTGGCTATGGATTTATAACATTCCAAACTCTCCACAATCATTAAGTTTTAATCAGTTAGTCAGCCTTGCAGAAGGTTTGGTTTGAAGGTATGGCTACACACAAGGACACTCAAATGACATTTATAGACCAGAAAGAGAAATGATTGTTAGCCTCCTCTTGCTTTAGTGATCCCATCTTACATATAAGAGAGAAGGGAAAAGAGTGAGAACATTTTGTAATGTGTTACTTAACTGTGTGAAGGCTTCCTACTGTGGTCTATGTCAGTAGAAACCCAGGGCTGAACTTGTGTACTTGGACATCCATAGGGTTGAAGAAAATGTGGCTTGATCTATGTTGTTAGCCCCATCTGCTTGGTCATTTATGAAATACTTTTTTGTTGACCGAGTATTTTGTTTTGTTTTGTTTTGTTTTGTTTTGTTTTGTTTTGTTTTGTTTTGTAGGGTGGGCGGTTTGTTTGTTTTTTTAAATATTTTATTATTTTTATTTTATGTCTATGAGTGTGTTGCCTGCGTGTGTGTGAGTGCACCTGTGTCATGCAATCTGCAGAGGTCAGAAGAGGGCTTCGGATTCCCCTGGAACTGGAGTTAAGGATGGTTCGTAGCCACCATGTGGGTGCTGGGTAAGAGCAGTCAGTGCTTTTAACCACTGAGCCATCTCTCCAGCCCCCTTTGTTTTTTGTTTTGAGATGGTCTCCCTGTAGCCCCAGCTTGCCTGGAACTCACTAATGTAGACCAGGCTAGCCTCAGTCTTACAAAGTTCTGCTTGCCTCTGCTTCCAGGTGTTGGGACTAAAGGCATGTGCCCACCCACCCAGCCCTGTTGCCTGAGTCTTTCATTTGTCTATATTCTGTAGTTATTTGTCCAGGGAAAAAAAGAGATGGAGTTCACTTGTAAATATATGTATGCCCTGGGTGAAGTGAAAATTTTGGAGTAATAGGATACAGAATTAAACATAAGTCTTCTTGACCTAGTACTTACCCCTTATGTTATTTAGATATTAAAAAAAAAAAAAAAAACTAAGCTAAAATTGTAAAGGTTTTACTTTGAAAAAGAGAAGTACAGTAAGGCTTGCTGACTGAAAAACCCACAGCATCATCATATACCCCACAAATTCTTGTCAGCTAGGATGTATGTCAAGGGAGTTAGTTGATCCACTCAGCAATTGCCTATTGCAATAGGTATGGTTAGATTAAAGACATTTAAAAAACAAGCAAAAATGGAGTGGGAGAAGGGACTTCCTAAGGGGAAGTAATGCTGAACAAATGAGATTTGTATGGCTATTTCATGGAAGACTGTCCATGAATGTTCAGAGGCAGGGTATAGCAATAACTTGTCATCTTCAAAAAGGACCTCATGTAGCAGCTAAATTTAATCTTGACTTTAAAAAACTAATTACTGGGTTTTATAAGTGTGAATTTTTAGAGACTCTGGGTTTAAAATCTTAGAAACCAAGGACAGTTTGGGTTTTTTTTTTTTTTTTTTTATATATTTTGGAATTCTTACAGAATTTTTACAGGTACTATTGCTTTCTAGTCTTATCAAGTCTTGGTATTCTTACTAGATCAGAATCATTATTACCCAATTATAGACTTGTAGAATAGGCTGTGAAGTTCGTTTTTTTGTTTGTTTCAGTGCTGTGATCTAATTCATGGTCTTTTGCATCCTAGGCAGGTGTTCTACCACTAAGCTATATCCTCAGCCAGTAAATTTTATTAATCTTAAAACCACTCTTCCCTTCATGGCATACAGACATATAGATCTGTTGTGATGCATACTGTGCAGCCTTCTGTAGACCTCATTTTATACAGGGTCTCACAGTTTCTCTCTTCAGCAGCTAACATATGCCTGAACACCTCTGTTCCTTTTTTGTACACCATTCTTCTAAGTTAAGGACCATCTTTCACCCTCCTCTTTTACTTGTGTACTCAGTTAATGATTATCCGCCTGATAAATAAAAAACTCGGTAACTCTGGGTATTACCTGAAAAAATAGCCTTAAAAGGTTTAGTATTCTACTGACAGTCATTAAAAATTGATCTTTATATCAAAGATAATTCTGAACTGAGTAACCTTTCTTTTTCAGAAAGCTTAATCTCCTTATTTATTAATCTGTTTCATTGTTTATTTTTAAAGCAGGGTGTCACTGTGTATTCTAGGCCAGCCTCAAACTCACCAGCCTGGCCTCCAACTCCTGTGCAGTCCTCCTGCCTTAGCCTCTCAGGCGCTGGGATTACAGAAGTTCCCCATGCCCAGATTCACTTATATTTCACAAAATATAATCCCGACTGGCAGAGATCATTCCTGAGTTGAGTTATCTGCCTTTTTTCTAAAAGAAATACATCTCTAGAGTAAAAAATTAGATGCACTTCTGGTGAAGAGTAATTTAGAATAAGTTCTCATTCTCTGATGGTTCTTGGCAAAAATAGCTGAGAGTGCAAACTTCCTGAGGTTCCCATCACCATATCTACCTCCAAATCTAATTTACCATTTCTTTCCACTTCCACTTCTCAAAACATGTGGGCCTCAGAGCAGTCAATAACAGTGATGTTAACTGATCTCATATCTTTGCATTAGTTATTTTCCTTGTTATTGTGACAAAATACCTGCAAAAGCTACTTAAGGAAGGAAGGCTTTATTTAATCTCACAGTTTCAGAATATAGTGCATTGTGGCTGGGGAGTCATGGCAGTAGGAGCTCAAGGGAACTGATCACGTTGCATCCATGGAGAGACATAAGTACGGGCCTGCCCCTCTTCTTTTTATTCATTCCAGGACCCCAGCCCATGGAATGGTGCCACCCATATTTAGGGTGGGTCTTCCCACCTCAATCTAATCTGGAAACTCCCTCACAACATTTCCAAAGTTTTGTTTCCGTGATGACTGAAAATCCTACCAGGATGGCACTACTACTAATCACATAGGAGACTTAGAGCAGTCAGTAACTATGGTGTTAACTGACATCCCTCATTGCACCACAAAAACAAGCAGTTCAGTGAATGGGCTGATGGCTGGTCAGAATACAGCTTTAGATGTAAGGCTGATCTTTTTCTTTGTTTGTTTGTTTAATCAAATTGACAGCTGAGAAATACATAATTTTTACCATATCAAGGGACATAGTACATCCTAGAAAATGTATATGTACACAATATTTTCTTTACTTTCTTTTTGTGTTTTGTTTTGTTCTGTTTTGGTGTTTTGAAACAGTCTCACAGTGTAGCCCTGGTTAGCTTTGAACTTGAAGAGATCTGGCTGCTTCTGCCTCCCAAGTGCTTAAAGAGGTCCCTACCACACCTAGTTCGACTTTATTTCTTCTTCTTCTTTTTTTTTTTTTTTTTTTTTTTTTTTTTTTTTGGACAAGGTTTCCCTGTAGCCCCAGCTGTCCTAGAACTCACTATGTAGACCAGGCTGGCCTTGAACTCACAGAGATCCACCTGCCTCTGCCTCCTGAGTGCTGGGATTAAAGGCATGCACCACTCCACCCAGCTCAACTGTATTTCTTTTAAAAATTATTTTCTTTCATATCTCTATTGGTCTTGCCTCTAACCACATACACATTCTCTTGAATATATTTGACATGGTCCTGTCTCAGTATTCTTCCTATCACTTAGAAACACTAAAGATGGGATTTGGTACTTAGTTTTAGATTACTTCTAGAGGTTTGGGAATTCATTAAGTAATTTGTACCACAAATATTTTCCATAGGGATAAGAGTTCATATTTTTATTTTTATTTTTGTTCTCTTTTACTTTTTGGTGTGAGGGGTGAGGACAGAGTCTTTCTTTGAGCCTTAGTCACACTAGAACTGGTTATGTAGACCAGGCTGGCTTTGAGCTCACAAAGATATACCTGCCTTTTCCTCACAAGTGCTGGGATTAAAGGTGGGAGCCACAATGTCCGGGAACATAATTTTGTTGAAGGGCATAACACATGATCTTTTCATAATATCACATAGTAATGCTTAAGTTAGTGACAGACCACATGAATGACATTGATCGCATAAGATCCCAACAGATCTGTAAATGTCCTATTGTCTAGTGTATTTTTCTGAATCTTCCTACATTTGTCTAAATTTAGGAACACAAAAACATACCATGGCCTTATACCTGCCTATAATATTTAGTGCTTTGATCTGTTGTACAGGTTTGTAATGTAGACTCTACCATAGAGCTCAAGCAAGGCATAGGGTAGACTAGGTAGGTTTGGGTGACTGTGTGCTTTACCACATGACACATATTCTAGCCAGGATGTCAGAACATGCCCTCATTACTAAGTGGCATGTACTATTTTCTATTGCTCTTGTATTAACTCTTATCCTAGTTGAAACTGCTAATCATAATAATTTGAGGACATTATTTTTGTAAGTCTGTAGAAGAGAAGCTTTCTCTGGCACAGGAAGACTTGATTTCAAATAGAAACCAAATTGGAAACCAAAATAAATTGATTCAAGAACTGAAGACTGCCAAAGCTACTTTGGAGCAGGATTCAGCAAAAAGAGAACAGCAACTCAAGGAACAGAGTAAAGCACTACAAGATATTCAGAAAGAAAAGGTATTGCCTTTCCTCCCATTTAAATTCACCTCTCAGACTTGCAGTAGCCTTGCGATTGCCTAGTTAGCCCTCTTATCCCATACAGGCAGCGTCCTTATCTTCAGAGGCTCTGTCAGAAGTCCGTGAGAATATGTGAGAACATGTTTGATCATTGCAGATTCTGCACTTGGGAGTACTTCCTAGTCACTTCCTTCTTACATCGACACAATTTTACTGCTTTTTGTAGTCTTGAAATCATGTTTATCACACCATAAAACTCTTGGTATATTCTAAATTGAGTTTTTCTTTAATTATAAAAATTGGGTGTTATTGTGGGAGTGGGGATGTCGAAGCTGGGATGAAATTTACAATTTATACGTCAAGTTTAGAAAGTTTGATAGACTATATTTTATTTTTGCTTAACTGCAAGGGTTTTTCGATCAGGCACATCTTGTTTTAGTGTTAGCTTCATTTCTAGTAGATGATATGATTTTTCTTAAAATCTTTTGTATTTAGTTATAAAATGGAGATTGAAAGTCTGCCTCATACAGAGATTAATAGAGATTTGTGCATGATGTTCCAGTAGAAGCATTATATAAAGTCAGTCATAGTTAATAGAAGTTAGAATAGTCAGCAGTGTTGCTCAATTTTATAGTAGCCTTACTTTGCGCTATTCATTTCACAGTATTGACTGAACTGTCTAATCTTAATAGTGATATTGCTAACTTAAATAGGCAAGAAAGGAATATATGTTCAAGTTAATTTAAATAGAAAAGTACAGATCTAGTGTAATAGTTAACAACATTTTTAATATACTAATTTTCAAGTCAGTGGGTGTTTTATATTTATTTTTAATTATTTTCCTTCAGTCAATGAAGGAAAAAGAACTAGTGAATGAAAAATCTAAATTGGCAGAGATCGAGGACATTAAATGTAGACAAGAAAAGGAAATCACTAAACTAAACGAAGAACTTAAGACCCACAAGCAAGAAACCCTAAAGGTAGGTTAAGATAACTTTTCCTTTCATCTGTGTTGTATTTTTCTCCTTTACATTTATATATATAAATATATTAGCGAGAGAGAACACAATATGTGCAAGATGTTGTTTTTGACAAATACTCTTCTCAGAGTGCTCCTGTATTGCTTGATATCAGTAAACATTGAAATTGTTTTACTTTTATTCTCAGATTACGGAATAAAGGAAAGTAACTATAAAAAATTAAATTTGAAATGATAATGAAGAAGGATACTGACTTAGAAAATTATGTTTATAAATAGCATACAAATGTGTAAGACTTCAAGATTTAAGGGATTTTTTTTTTTTTTTTAATGATGTTTCTTCTGTCCTGGGAC